CACTCACACACACACACAAACAACAGCAGGTTATGGAGCTGCTGATGAAATAGCGTACCATTAGAAAATCTCGGAAGGACATCCAGAAAGATCCCGCATTCCCATCCAACACAGGATGAATCTCTTCTGTGACATCAAGGAAGTTGGACCACTCCGGGCTGCTGTGTGACCATGCGCCCTCCCAATTGAACCTTCCCCAAGGGTCGCGCAAATGGACAAGCTGGTGGCCATGGGATTCCCTCACCTGAAGGGACACGGGAACAAGTCAACCAGACATGCTAAATCCCAAAGAACACCACACAGATATGCAACATTCAAAATTTGGAATTTAGCACTCCACTGACGACAACGGGACATAGCGCAGAAACAAAAGAAGTTAGCAAACGACAAATTACATCACACAAGAGTCATTCGTAGCAGTGCCGTATCTACCGATGCAGTATCGCATCGAGCCTGTCAAGAATTCCGTTTCACTGATATGGAGACTTTGGGGAATCGCCAGTTGCAAAGGAACAAAGGTGACACCCCCGAGAACAGGACCGCCCCAAAGGGTGCGGGGTTGTGGCTTACATACGATAGGAGAAGCAGGGGTAGGGAGGTAGCTTGCAAGACAGGAGCTTGGTTCCCAACTTCCCACAGCCTTGAGAACTTGGTGGGGCTGTTTTCTAGGGTGATTGTGAGGATTCTCTTCTGCTTGTTATGTTTCAACACAAAACTGAGTTTGTGTTCCCACACACACTATGTGGAGTCATGGCAATATGGCCATGTGGAGTTTTGGAAGGCATAACTACTCCCTGTTGATGAAAAGGAGAGAGGGGGAGAAAGACGAAGTGCCGCTGACTCAACCGGATTGGACTGTTCCAAACTACTGGACTGGACGGTGCCAGACTCGATTAGACTGGGACTGGACCCGCCTGCTCACCTGCTGGCCTACAGACAAAGCTCTGCCCGCTTAACTTACTTGACTAGCACCTATGGTAGTACATGGGAAGTGGAACCATCTTGGCCTACCCACTCAGGACTCAAGACAGGACGCTGATACTCACGGAACCCTTCAGTATTATGTACACATCAACCATCTTCGCCTACCCACAGGGAAAGGTACAGGTTTTGCAGGTGTGCTTTACACACCTCAATTATTGTGAGCATTTGGCATTCTCTGTCACCTGACTTCGGCTCCGATTCTGTGATGACTTCTGTAATGTCTGATCTGCAAGCTGCACCCATAACATGCTTCTGCACACTATGTTCAAGCAGAGCGTTCCAGAAACCTGCATGTTGCATTTCAAGGAACAAGCAGAACAGTCCAAAATCCAAAAGACATGTCAGGAGTCAGGACCTCTAAGCAGAAATGCAAAAAGTGGCAGGGAGCTTGCAGCACATTTCCGCAAAAAAACGAAAGTTTCAAACTCGGCCAATTTTTTCGGTCCAACTTTTTGCATGTGTGTGATGGAAGTCAATCACAGGAATTGCACCCCCCCCGTTCCCAAAATAGCCCCACAGTGACACTGTAAAGTCCCAGTTTCTGATCTGACACCATCATTAAGGTGGAGTTGTGTGCCGCCATGCTGGAGTTGTGTGCCACCACGCTGCCGCCCTCTCCCCCCACAAAGGACAACAGCGAAAAATAGGGGGTTGGGCCTAATTGGCACAAAAGGACCAAGATTATAAGGACCGCTGTGTGACCAGCACCGCTGTTCATTTTCAAAGGGGGATGGGTGGAATGCGGGAAATATGCATGTACAGCAAGACATCACAGCTACAGGGGCGAGCTCACGTCGAAAAGCCCTGCGTCATCTCAGGACCAACAGCGGCAACACTCCCCGGAAATCTTTCAAAACCGAACCAGTGAAAATTGTATAAGCAATGTTCGATCAGCAGGAAACCACAAAAAAGTATGGTCGCTCGCCCTAGCAAGCGACCGCTGAGCTGTTTGGGATCCTCAGAGACTTTACGCAACACATCTCACTTGTTTCATTAATGAGACGGAAAGAAAGAAAGAAAGAAAGAAAGAAAGAAAGAAAGAAAGAAAGAAAGAAAGAAAGAAAGAAAGCGGCAAGCCACTCACTTTGCGTCTACTTTCAATTCTAATTTGCTGCATTGATCGATGCTGAGGTTTTCTTTTACGTATGTATTGTATAGTCGGTCTTATGGAAATGTCCATTTGCAGATGCTTGTCTGTTGAAAAAGCATTCGTGTGTGGCTCGCCTGAGTTGGAAATTTTGGTCACGTAGATCTTGTATTGTGCCTAAATTTGTCGGTTACTCGTTTTCCCAATTCTCGCTCCAAGCTCTGCCAGTCATTCTGGAGTAAACAGAGCATGCAGTCATGGAGACTTCATGATTGGTGGGTGTCTGGCGCTACATAGATTTACTGAGTTATTGAGTTATGTGGAGATTCTTTAAACATAAGAAGATTTAGCTAGCTGCACAGCTTGAGCCTTGAGGTCTCTTGAATTGGCAGTACCGTTGGGTGGTGAAGTGAAAGGGAAAAAAAAAAGAAGGAAAAAGAGTTTAAAAGACCTTTGGCTTTGGGTGGTGAAGCAAGCTGGGTTCAGTGGTGTACCCAGGTTTGAAAATCGGAGCTCACCTCCTCCAGCTTTGAGCTTTTTCAGCTTTGGCTTATCGAGCTTGTAGCTGACACATGGTGCACCAGTGAGATCTCTCAGCGCATCTATCACTGATCCAGATGTAAGTTGCGCATACGACCCATGAAGTTTGGCATACGCCTTTGCCAAAACCACTGGCCACATCTCATTGTCTCCCAAGCAAGCTGATGTCCCAATATTAAGAGGAAAAAATAAAAGCAGCATTCACAAAAGAACATCAGTTCATGCCTTACATCATACATGCAGTTGATCACGAGAAGATAATGAATCAGGTAAGCACTTTGTCAGCCAAAGGTTCCTAACAGTCCTTCACCACCAGAACTTAAACTCCACTTTAATCATTGGACAGCTGTAGAACATAAGTTATATGTGTTCGTTGGGTCTTATGGCCATACGATAACAACCATTAGACAGATAGAATTCGACCATAAGGGATTGAATTGATGATTCGCTCACTGAACTGGGTGCGCTTTCTTTTTTCCAATTTATTCGATTCGAAGTATGACTTTTTTTTTTTTTTTTTCCCCTTGTTTCTGGAGTATTAATAAACCACCATCATCGATTCATCTTTTTGCACGAGTCCAATGTCCATGGTTCATTTTTTGTGTGTGCACTGTGCAATAGAATGCTACGTAATGGTGTACCTTTGTTACTTCCATTCTCATGGTTTGGCTGTATGTGCCGTACAGTCTTTCATGTTCATTTTCATCATGGTCGACTCATCGAGACAAACTGTACTTAATCATTGGACAACTGGAAACAGGCTAATAAATAAGCGTAATGAAGATGTTGACTTTAACCATATGACAACAGGAGAAAGGGTAACAAATAGACTTAATGTGATGTGGAGACCATCCGAGGGCGTGATAGACGGAAAGTGGTGTTACTAGGGCTGTTAACGAGGTGTGGGTGTGGTAGACGGTGTGATGGTCGGCGCTCCTTCAACAATGGTGGAGAGGACACACAAGGGAGGGCAGGCGCCTGCGGTAAGCACTGTTACACAAGAGGGCGATCAGCAAGGGTTCCCTCCGAACTTGCTGCATGAGGCTCGGGCGGCAGCCTCTTCAAGAATGAACGACCAAGAGGGTTACAGGTGAGGTGACTCTGGCGATGTACAAACACCAGATCCAAAATATGAAGCTTGCAACCATCGAGAAAAGTGAATACATACCCCTGGAGATGGCGATTGAGGGGGAGATGCTAGTAGAAGGAACAGAAGAAAACTTTGAAGAGATCTTCCGGCAGGAAGAGTTTGTCGGCGAAAGGGCAGTAGCGGGTCGTTAGGAGCGCTTGCAGATGATGTGGGAACTTGAAGTGCTCTTCACTAACCTGCGACCACGGCCCGACGGCGATGTCGCCACATTCTCTGATGATGACGACCGACAATCTATTGATACTGGACATTCTCAACCCACTGGTGTTGATTTGGGATATGAAGAGCAGGGGAAGAGCCACGTTCAACTTCGAAAAATTATCGACAGGAGCAGTGCCTCCTTAAGTGACGAGGAACTGACCTGCGGCGTTCAGGCCAACTATTGGGGCTCTTCGTGGAGGTTCGTTCGCAGCCAGCTGGAGAACAACAAGAAGTTCAGTAACTTGCAACAGATTAAGAATGGCGAACCTGCACCACAGCGGGTCTCCCTCATGCTTGGTGGTTAAGGGCAAGAGAGTGAGGGCAGTAAAAACAAGCCGCATATGGCTGAGCACAGCAAATATAAAGAGCAGCGACAGGAAGAGATGACGATAGACGATCCGCACTGCCCTGCACTACTGGTAGTCGGTGCAAGTGCGAATCACGAGCAGGGGGTAATTTGTTTACGACAAAACCACATGGGATCGGTTGACAGCATCCGCAGCAAGGGGCGTTATCAACCAAAGGCAAGTGGGGCATTTCACGAATACGGCAGAACTCGTAAGATGAATGGGGACCCTCCCATACCTAGACTTCAGACGCAGGGGAGAGTGGAAGGAGGGGTTCAGGGGGGCACGGTGCCCCCACTGGGATTGGTAGAGGAGGGCAGTATATGGAGGGATGGACGGGCCAATGGGTGTGGAAGGTTCCGTGGGTGGGAGCAGGGTGATGGGGGGTTGCGGGCTGTAATGATGTTTCCTCCAAAAGGTGGGAACCTCAGCTAGGGCCTAATGCACTGGTAGAGGCTGACTGCCCGGGTAAAGGTACAGGGGGCCAAGAGTCGTAAGTACATTATATTTAGAGCAAGGAGTCGTCCCGCTATTCGCCCTGAGGAAGAGGCGGAGCGCCATTTTTAAGGATTAGCAGAGGGTGAGGAAGACGAGCTCTATGATATGGAGGTAGGAGGAAAAGAACATCAAGGAAGACAAGCTCTATGATATGGAGGTAGAGGGAAAAGAACCTCAAGCTAGGCTATGACCGAGGTGGAGGAAGAGAGTGGAGGTAGAAGAGGAGGAAGGAGGGAACCGACAAGAGTGACTTGCCTTTGGCTATTGTAGACGTTCATGCCCACCTCCTTGGCTGGCGCTGCATCTGGAAGGCCCCTGTCGGGTTACTTTTTGGACAAGGCTATGGTGACATAACATGGGAGAAGCACAATAGTAGTTGCATTGTCCTCTGAACATCCATGCTGGACATGGATGAGCCGCCATAGCTAGATGTGCAGCTTGAGGAGACGAGTGAGAGTGTGGCCCAGAGAAGAGCCCTTTGAACGCTGGCGGTAAGGGGCATTACTTAAGCAGTGATTCTTTTCTTTTCTTTTTTCTTTTTTTCCTTTTTTTTTGGTTGAAACAGGTCCTTATGTCCTGGCTCCATATTCCATTCTGGGGAGCGTCAGTCCGGTTCCTTTCCACCGTCAAGTCAAGAATTGAAATACATGGTGAACACTCTCACGCTTCCTTCCATCTGGCCGAAGGAACCCTGACCAGCATTGAATGCTCCAGAGCCGGAGGATTAACTGTCAGCTTACCCTACCACTTTTCCTCTCGGACTCTACTGTGACTCTGTCAGATGATTTGTGTAAAGCAAGAAAAGAGGAGAGTTAGTCTATATTGTTGAGAACTTGAGATTGTAATCTCAGTTTGCCCATCACTGGGTCATCGTCCTTGCTGAAGTTGCGCTGTGCCGTTTTTTTCCAAATCAACCTGTTATATGCCACAGTTGCGATCTTTCCTGTGGAAGCCAGTTTCTCACGAAAGACCCATCTCTTGACGGCTAGCCTTTCTGGTCTGGCTTTCGTTGCTGATGTCGCCTCCCTCCACCTGGATCGAATCTCAGTTTCTGCCATTTCCCGCCAGTAGAATCCACATTTCCTCCCTTGCCACCTCAGTGCCCTCTTGGTACACCTCCTTTTCCATACTACCCATAGAGCCAGCTTACTCAGCAGTTGAAACCAGACTTCCTTGCCTCCCTTGAGATTATTAGTATTGTTGGATAGGAGCAGGATGTCCAGAGGAGTTTTGGACGGAGGGGGTGATGACAAGAAGAGGAGGGACCATAGGTTGTCCACCGTGTTCCATATCCATGCTGCTTCAGTGCAATACAGGAGGCAGTGGGGTATATCTTCCGGGATGTTGTTTGTGCACAACCTGCATAATTCAGAGCTGTCAGGGTCCGTATGTTTCCTCCTCTTGTGGCCATTGATTGACCGGCAGCGATGCGTGCGCTACGAGCCACTGCATGCTTCGAATCCTAACCGGTCTAATAGACAGGTACTTCATCCAAGGGATGGAAATGGGGTCTGCGGGGTCTAGATTCAGGATCTCCCTCCATTTTTCCTTCGAATCTGGGGTCCAGATCTGTGGTCCGGATCTGTGGTCTGTACCCCCAAGTCATAACCGAATTTAACATCGTATTCAAATATCGTCCTCGCTCTCCCGGACTTACCCTGCTTTCAGACCCACTCTTTCGGGTCGAATTCGAGGTCTGAAATGCTGAGATCCGGTTGGAAGATTTTCCAGTGCTTGGCCTTCGAGACCCTCACTTTTCTCAGTCGGAAGGTTTCTAGTATGTCGCACTGGGGTTCCTTATTTAGGATTTCCAGCTCTTGTAGTCTGTGATTAGCGATAGGGTATGAGTAGAATTTAGATAGGTAGCTGAGTGGGTTGGTTCGAGAGACGAATCGATATGCTATCCCTGGATTTCCACGAAAAATCCTCCCTTAGGAGGGAGAGCCATGTTCTTCTGAATCAGCGTTAGGTTTTCAGTAAGGGAGTGGCAACCTTTTAAAACATTCCGTAGCTCCTGTTCGGTAGACCATCGTCCTCGATCCTCTGCCCAGATGTGTTTCACCTGCCACAAGCCTTTCTCCACCCAGGATAGCCATCTCCAGTCCTTTGAGCATAATGTCCACGACACTCCGCTAGGGTCTATGATCCAAGGGTTGCAGAAGAGAGGTTGTCTCAGGATCTCTTCTCGGTTTCCTGGAGAACCGTGTTTGCTTGGCATCATTCTACGCCAGGCTTTGATGGTAGGGCTCCAGAATGAGATAGCTGTTTGGGTGGGGGCTGTGATAGGCTCTGCTGGGTTTATTCTGCGAGGTCTGCCTGATTTGGTTGTCCAGTCCTTCGCCATAAGCCAGTAGAGGCCTCTCATAATCAGGGGGGAGTTGATGGGTGCCAGGTTTCTAATGCTGTCTAGAGCCATCTGGGTCCATGGAATAAATTGTCTGATCAGGATCTTGATAATCCATTTCATCTGCAGAGCTATGGACTCCTGTTTGGGGTCCAGTAGCCCAAGCCCCCCTTCCTGTGGTTTCCTAATAATGTGGTTCCAAGCTACCCTGTTGATACATGTGGTCCTGTTGGGATCTCCTGTCCATAGATAGCATTTCGCCCTGTTTTTTAACGTCTTGAGGTTGGCCTCAGGGGGAGACCAGATGGATGTCATGGACCACAGTGTAGAGAAGATTGCCGTGTTAATTTAGGGCGCGTCCGATTAACGAGGCCTGAGTGGTTTTGCATAGGGCCAAGCGGGTGATTGCCCTGGCACTTAGGTTCTGATCCATTCCTGGCCATACTCCGTCCTTGTTGACCATGATGCCCAGGAAATGTAGTGCTTGATCACCCGTAGTCCATGACATGGGTGTGGCTGTATCGGTTGGTTGGGGAGGGGTGCCGTCTGCTAGCCACCAACCTTCAGTTTCTCCCCAATTGACCTTCATTTCTGATGCCAGTCCGAAGGCTTTCATTGCTCTTATGAGGACAGTTCGGCGAACATTAGTGCAGCGGGTAGAGCGAAGTCGTGTAGTGGATTGAAATTGCGTTCAGTAAGGCGGTCGATGGATGCATCTTTCCGAAGGAAGGAAGCTATGGCTTCCAAAATGAAGAGGAATATAGGCGGAGCCAATGCATCGCCTTGTCTGACCGATCTTCATATCTGGTAGGTCTCCGAATCCTGTTGACCTGGACTCTGCCCGTAGCGTCTGAATAAAGGACTTTCACCCAATTTCTGAAGTTCGGGCCTACCCCCATTTTGTCCATCATTCATTCACTCATTTCTTTTGTAATTAATTGTTTGTAAGAGTAGAAGATGATGAAGATGCTGATGACAAGAGGGGGAGGAAATGGCATTTGTTCAATCAAGTGTATTTCTTCTTCTTTCCTTTTTTTCATTCATTCACTCATTTCTTTTGTAATTAATTGTTTGTAAGAGTAGAAGATGATGAAGATGCTGATGACAAGAGGGGGAGGAAATGGCATTTGTTCAATCAAGTGTATTTCTTCTTCTTTCCTTTTTTTCATTCATTCACTCATTTCTTTTGTAATTAATTGTTTCTAAGAGTTGCAGATGATGAAGATGCTGACGACGAGCAGGGGAGGAGATGGCATTCGTTCAATCTCACGTATTTCTTCTTCTTCTTTCCTCCTCCATTCTCTCTCTGTTCCACTTTTCTTAATTTGGCAAATACTGCATCGTCTCAAAATCGAGTCTTGCATTGTGAATTGTGCTGTATCATAACAATTTCATTCCTTGGGTTTATATAGATTTGATGAAAATAATACTGTAAGAAGTCAAGAACAGAAAGAAAGCTCTCCTCACTCACCAGTGATGCGACTAGAGTCCACAGCTGGCAGCTTGCTATTCACGGCCACTGTCACCCATCTGCAGAAAGTACCAAGCTTCAAATTAGCTCTCTCTCTCTCTCTCTCTCTCTCTCTCTCTGTCTCTCTCTCACACACACACACACACACACCCATGCACATTGGGAAAAAGAGCGGCGGGAGGGGGGAAAGCGGGGCGGGGGAGAATTAGGAAGGCGAGAGGTGTGGCAGATGGCCACATGCGAGCATTGTGTGAGGATGTGAAGGTCACGGTTTCATCTATGTGATTGAGGCACCACAGCCAAGTATCTATATCAACAGCACTGCTACTGGGCCTAGAGCACTGCACTGCTGCTCCCATGACTCATCTCTGAAGATACACCACACTCCTGAACCCACCCGTTGTGGGCCCATGCAAGGAACACCTTGGAACAAAACTGTTTTCCAGCAACCATTAAAAGAAATACGACCTCCCAAGTTCATGCAGCTGAATTGAATTAAAAAAAAAGAAAATTTAGGGGAAAGGAATAGGAAAATGCTGGGGCCATCAATGGCAGATGTACAATGTTATTCTGATGTATGATATAGATAGGCATAGACATGCTGTGGCTATTAATAGTGGAAGGCAGAATACGAAATTTGACTTTGAGGGTGGATATAAAAATAATATAAATAGATACACAGAGGTTGAAACAGAAACCGTGTAAGCTTTGAGGTAGCGATAAAGCTAGGTAGGCTCTGGAGTGGCAGGAAATAGATGATGATTGGACAAGCAGGTCTCAGGGACTACCCCGGAGCACACTCCCCCCAGGGGTCCTGCCCAGCGGTGGACTACCCTACTGGGTGCTGCTAGTCAGCCTCCCGGCTAATAGGGTAGCATACTGGGGGAGGGCAATGGTTGGGGTGGGGAGTGCGGTGCAGGCCCCCCTTGCTTAGGCGACTAGTGCCACACGGGTTAGGCTGAGCCTCTTTTTCTGTCTTTTTCTCCCATTGTTTTTGTACAAACACGCTTGCCGGTAATAAGCAACCGGACTGTTGCCCCTTAGAATAGAAGGGGCCTGTGTTGGTTTGAAAAAAAAAAAGAAAAAGGAAAAGCAAACCATCCCATCCACAGTGACGTAACAAGCCTCAATGGCTGTCCTTTGGGCTGTGGCAGACCTACCCTTGCTTCATGGGGATTTTGCTGGCCTACAGTCTGGAAGGTCTTCCTTCGGGTGTGGATGGGTGATAGTCTGCTCCCGTTTTCATCACAGGTACCTTTACGGCATTAGTTGGTACCCACCTTTGGGAATCGGTTGTGGGCCAGTGGTTGGCGCCTAACCGCAGTATCATCGATTATGGAACTGTGCAGACTATAGAGGGTTCAGCCTCCGGATGAGTTGGTGAAACCCCGACGAGAACATTTTGTCACAGCCCTCCGGTCTCTTCTCCTTTCCTACCCTTTCTGCCCACGGCTCAGTAAACAGAGCTCTGTGACTACAGTAGGTACAGACGTTGTGAATTACAGACAGCTGTAAAGCAGAAAGCCTTGCAATAACTAACTGGCCTAGCTCAGTTGGTACATCCCTGAACTGTTGAAATACGGATCCGAGTTTGAACCCTGCTGGAAGCAGAGGAGTGAAAAGCCTTACAATCAGACAGCAACCCTGCTCAGTTGTCACAGCCCTCCGGTCTCTTCTCCTTTCCTACCCTTTTTGCCTACGGCTCAGTAAACAGAACTCTGTGACTACAGTAGGTACAGACGTTGTGAATTACAGACAGCTGTAAAGCAGAAAGCCTTGCAATAACTAACTGGCCTAGMTCAGTTGGTACATCCCTGAACTGTTGAAATACGGATCCGAGTTTGAACCCTGCTGGAAGCAGAGGAGTGAAAAGCCTTACAATCAGACAGCAACCCTGCTCCACACCCAGAGATAATTGGGTGGATGAGCGCATAAATAAGCTGTGCTGCTTGCCTCTTCTTTTCTATAGCAGGTGCGTTGACTATTGTCAGTTGGCTGCATGGATGGATGCTAACCACAAGTGTCATTATCGCCACAATCACATTCAAGGGCGACAATGAACCCCACTTAATCCCACAAAAGCACGGCAGGCATCGCTTACTAAGTTACTATGCTGCCAAGAGCTCTCTCTCTCTCTCTCTCTCTCTCTCTCTCTCTCTCTTGGCCACTCCGACAAGCGAGGGTGATGCGGCATTGCTGTGCCCGCACTGCTTGACTCACGCATCTGCAATTAGGGACGGACAGTGGGGAACAGCCGGGAGTCAGGATGTATAAAGCAAGTCCGACACAGCTCAGAAATCCTGGAATGATAGAGATTGAACCGCCAGTAAGTTTCCCAGTCATTTTTCTTTGACACGGCGTGCATGCGGCGGCTGCAAGTTTCAGGAGTCGGCCTAACAGAGCAAAATGGCTTGAGGCACCAGCCAAAAGCAGGCTCGCGCCAACTCATTTATTTTTGGCACGCAGGGCGTTTCCGGGCTCGACACTGGAAGGGTTGAACGTACTGGTGGTTTAACAAGGCCCATGCACAAGAACAAATGTTAAATATTTTCTCCCTGGTGCTGTGTTTAAGCCATCCCTTGGAAGTAATCGTGGAAGCCAAGCAGTGGAGACCTGGTGCTGGGCCTGCAAAGAATTTGCTATAGGGTTACATATTCCTAAGATTCCTAACATATGGCCTGGGCTGTTGCCCCTAATGATGGTGGGTTGCCTTCAGGCGATGATGGTATGATAGGATCTGTGCATGCATATTAAGTGAAGAGAGAGCATCGTTCCTACACTTTTAAACCATACTTGCGGTGCACCAGTGCGCTGCGCTGCGCCATGCTGGATGCGCTCGGCCACACCGCACGTGCACCGGTTGCGCCGTGTGCGCACCGCATTGAGACACGCTGCTTTTTGCCGGCGCGCCCTGTGCACCGTGCCTCTGTGTGTGTGTGTGTGCGTGTGTGTGTGCGTGTGTGTGTGTGTGTGTGTGTGTGTGTGTGTGTGTGTGTGTGTGTGTGTGTGTGTGTGTGTGTTTTAGATTTTCCCCACAACAGCGCCAATTCCACCCAGGTGAATAGATTCAGAATCAAAGCAGTCTTTATCCTATTGCAGACAACGAGAGCATTTGAGATGTCCAACATATTAAAGCAATTTTATAATTACACAGTTTTTTGGTTGTTCTTGGGGTA